TCACTTTCAACATTAGTCATTATATGTCTGACTCTAAGCCAACCTTCAGATTAAGAGTATTGTTTCATTAACTTTCAAGAGAAAGAAGTCATTTTTATAACAATGATTGTACGATTAGTTTTGCATTGAAAGAGTAAATTGGTTAAAGCGAGTTTTACGAGCAGGTAGCTCTCAGCAATCTGCCATGTGGAACTAAAAGGTAGAAAAGGAACTACATTCAAAAAAAGAAATTTGCGTATGCATAGAACTAGAAAATAAAAGTGCTACCCCTATGCGCTTGTTGTTGATTTCGTACAGTTTCAAAGCCTCATTAAAAAGCGGTGATTTTACTTCTTCATGGATTTGTGTACATTTAATTTCCGGCACTAGTTTGTCGCGATAGTTGCGCGTATAAGCAGTCAATAGCCTGACCGAGAGTTGATTTGTAAAAATACATTTCACAATTTAGTCACTAAATTTTTCTTGACCTTCAATTTATTAACTATTTTCATCGCAGTTATGTTCTCATCAATTGCAATTCACTTAAATGATTTCTATTTAAAGAGCTGTAGAGTAAGGTCCATTAGTATGCCGGGGTACGCCAACACAAGATGACGTAACGTCCGATACGAAATTGAAAAGAGTACTGCGGCTCATGTGAATAGTTCATCCAGTAAGAACCATTCAGAACGACCACGTGCCACATCCTCCCGTATTTGGTATCTAGGTAACGCTTCAGATCGCCGGTTAGCCGACGTTCTTCTACTCGACTCGACTGATCGGGCTGGATGAGGCGACGTGCTTCATCCGATATATCGATCTGATCCTCGAGCGCCATGTTGGCTGAGATCACGATCACATCTGATCCAAGTCCGCGAATTGGAGCGGAATGCTGTCCAAAAGTTTCAGTGCGGTAGATACGACTGAAAAATGAGCCAAGGAAGGATTAGTGTTGAAATATCAAAAATTAAGTTTTTTTAATTTTAGGAAGGATTGCGTTTTAACAAAGATCCCCAGTAGCCTGAAATAGTTTAAGTCGACTGCCAGAAATCTGATAATAAAAATAGTATGGACACGAATTAACTCATAGTGGTATGTGCACTTTTATTGAGGCTAATCTTCTTCATAGGCTTTTGAACTGCTGCAAACCCATGACTGAAGCTTCGTAATCTCGTTCGTCTGGTTTTTTTGATGAGCTTAATCTAATATGTTTGGCAAGTTTAAATGAAGTTAGAAGCATCACTTTCACCCGCTTACATGCATGCATGTTAAGCATAAAGCAGCTAACTAAATCATGAAATGCCTCAATAAGATGCCAAATTGAAGTATAGGAAGTAAGTGAAATCTCGGCCGGCCACCTTTCTTGGCTTAGCGTTTTTTGGTGATTGTTCGTGAATAATGGTTTCTGGCCCTGATGCTGTCCGTCCCATCACGTATGAAAGCGCAGCACGGAGTCATTGGGGTCACAGGACGGTGAGCCAAAGTCTTCTTCGCACAATTCAACAGTCAAAAGTCTAAGGCAACCCTCCTTTTTTATCCGATCCAGCCAATTTACGAATCCATTCTGAAACGAAATGAAAGTTATTCTAGTATCAATCTACTAAGGGATTCTTTGAAACCTGGGTGCTCTTTATATCCTATTTGTATCAGCCTAAATGTACTTAAGGAAGACAGGTCCATAGTTTTTTCTGAATTGTTGATAACTATGGATGAATTACTGTTGGTAATTGATATAGCTACAATCGTAGTTAGAAAATATAAGAAAAAAATTATTTATATGACAGTCATGGAGTATTTAATGCTAAATGCCCTTCAAATTTTACGACTATAATTAATTTCGTGATTGAGCCATCAAGTGAAAAGGATCGGAGCTTGAGTTGGTAGTATCGAAAGAAATATTTGGTGACGATTTAAAAATATGCTTATATCTGCCTCTTTCTAGTAGATACAAAGAATAAATGGGTTTCGCTGAATCGCCTGATCTAACATTGTTGGGTAGACTTTTATTTCGTATGAAAGTGAATAAAAAAGAAATTCGTAGGTTGATCTCACCACAAAACGACGGCTGATTCCTGTTGTATTGCAACTCGATGTTCAGTTTGACTCAGTCCACGATACATCATCGCTCGTATAGAGAGAAAGCGGATTGAACTTTCGTTCTTGATATGATGGACATTATTAGAGCTTGGACTCATTCTTGTAAAAGTCTTTTAATAATTATATATATATATATTCAAATCTAGATAATTAAACTGTATAGACATAGATATATATAGAATGGTTTGGCTAATTATTTTTTATGCTGGCAAAAAGTTGAGTAAGAACTACTTATGTTTTATTGATCAATGTTATGCTGCCATAAAAAAGAAGGCGACGCAATTTTTCCGCTCAGCGATGCTTCTAACTTTACTCAAACTCGTCAAACATTTTAGATTTATCGAAGGTATGAAGACCAAGATGGTGTGACCTTTTGTGTGGTCGCAGTCTCCTTTCGTTGTATAAAAGTTGTTTGACCTTGTTTTCGCAACTTAGTCATATTGGTAGGAAAACCTAGAGGAACGCACCTAGTCCGGACTCCATTGTATACATCATCATTTCTAGACTAGTACCCTGGACGTGGTACATGTTAGATTAAGCTGATCAACAAAACCAGACGTACGAGTGGTTGAACTTTAATGACCCTAGACTGGGAGGTTAATAAATGTGGTTTCGTAGCATGACTTACATGTTCACAATGTTTTGCCTCATTATCTAAATCATAATTGCTTGCGGAGTTAAACACTCTCGAACATGGCATCATATTGGATCATTGAGCCTTAATGATCAGACTCTTGCATTAGGTTACTTTTATCCCTCTGACCATATAGACGTCAACGCACACTCAAACAAACGTAGCAAGACCAAAAGGAAAGATGACTAGCCAACTCATTCTATGTATGTCTATGACCTTTAATTTTATTTTGCTTACTTGCGTCTATATAAGAGGTGAGATAGAGCCGGACGTGAGACCTTTACAGGAATGAGTTCCGGCTCTATTGATGTTCATTAATTTACAGATGAAAACTCAGCAATTTGCATATAAAACGAGGGAAGATGACTCGTGAAATGTGTCAATCTGAACGCCGAATTAAAGCCGAACGGCTGCATTAAGACAGGAATCAGCCGTCATCTTTTAGTGAGATCAACCTACGAATCTTTTCTTTATGCACTTTCATACGGAATGAAAATCTCTCCAACAATGGTTACTAGTATATAACGAATCGCTTTATCAAGTTGAAATATACACTTCTTATATTAGTATTCCAAACAGTAAAATGTGATACTTACCATAAGTAAGATCCATAAGATTATTTCATATAAGGACATTCGGGAGTTTGAAATCCCTTTGAATATTTTAATTGCATTGTAAAGAAGTAGCATTTGGGGGTCGGTCACTTTCCCTTTCCTTACTGGGATTGAATATATGGATAGCTCTGAATATTTCAATAAAATATAAATTTCGTGAAAATATGCATGGTATCTTCGACTATTAGAGATAATTCACTTGCTAAGTAAGTCTAGAAAGCAAATATAGCCGACAATAATTAACCTTTTGATTGCAATTAAATGTGCCTGAAAGTAATGTAGCACCCACTTTTTTAGATTGGCTTTCCTCTTGATGCACAGGTGTTCGAGATTTATTCGTCTGACTAACTAAGTATATAATAAAATCAAAAAGAGCAGTAGCTATAGATTCTCAACCGTGGTGAAGTTTGCTGCAGTAGACCTATCACACTTACAAAAGAGAAAACCGATTTAAGGGAACGAAGAAACACTAAGTTCCATATAGTCAGCTCAGGAAATAGGTCAGTCCAGCAACTTTAGTGAAGTCATGGTAATCACCTAGTATTTGCATTTTGATTGCATGAAACTTATTGCCGTAAATATACCTCATTTTCATATGGTGTTGAACTAACTAATAGAGTATACTTAAGATAAGGTTTGGCTTCATGTTA